CCAGCCAAGCTGGTAGTCCAGCCAAAACCAGCTATATCCAGCTTAAACCAGGCTGGTCAAGCTGGTTTTAGCTGGATTTGGCTGGTCATTTTCCAGCCTGACCAGCTAAGACCAGGCTGGAAATGGCTGGAAACCAGCCTGGAAATGGCCTAAACCCCTCTAAAACCAGCCTGGTCAACCAGCTAAAACCAGCCAACCAACCTAGGCTGGTTTAAACTTGATTTTGCAGGAGGGTAGGATTGACACTAGTGCTTGAACGAGGTATTGCAGTCTAAATTCTAAATATTGGAGAGGGTTTTTTTCCTGGCCCCTCCAATAATGACGCAGACACTGGTTGCCAGATTGATGACACCAACAGATTGCGAGTTTGCCAGATGAAGGGTTGTGAAACCCCCTATATCAGCTAGGTGTTTTCACACCTCTACAGGGTGGGCCATTTATCTGGACAAACCTCAATGAAATGGGAATGGTTGGTGATGTTAACGTTCTGTTTGTGGCACATTAGTATATGTGAGGGGGCAAAACTTTCGAGATGGGTGGTGACCATGGTGGCCATTTTGAAGTCGGCCATCTTGGATCCAACTTTTGTTTATTCATTAGGAAGAGGGTCATGTGACACATCAAACTTATTGGGAAGTTCACAAATTATAACATCATCTAAAAACATCATTCTTAAATGTCTGCAGTTGAGTTTATTTACACTCAAGTTCCTCTTCTTCGTCGCATTTATTTCATTTCTTTGCATCAGTTCTTTTTGTTTGGCTGACAGTATTCAGTTGGCTTGTAAAATCTATTAGAGATCAGTTTATCCTTGTACAAACTGAAATCAGACAGCCATCTCTGTGTTCCTGTCCTGTATCACATTCAGTCCTGTATATAAATTCCACTCCACAGCACAAGAGCTTGAGATCGAGCACTTTTAGGCATGTCTACACCTGAAAACATCCATTAGGTTAGATCTTTGATGGCCGACCAAACCACCTGTAATGAGAAGTCCTTTGAAAAAGGCTTTTCTTGGAGGCTTTGATTTGATCTCCCCCCATTTATATAACACACACTTGTGCAGATCGGCAGGTTGAGCTCCATAGGCTTCATAAGAAGAGTGTGAGATGTTATTTTGAGCACATGGAGATGACAACAAGGCTTTGAGGGATCTAGAATACGGCACACGCTGCATAAAAGCAGTTTTATGGAGCTTTTGTGAAGACGTGTCATCAGTTGAACTGAACAGACTGTACATTCATGCTTATTTTCATTACTGTAAGATACTAAATATGTGCCAAGTCTACAGATCTTCACGTGGGCCGCATTTAAAGTTGATTCTGATTTTAAATTCTTCATTTGAATACAGTTTTTAACCCGCATGGAGCCAATAATCCAAGAAGAGCCAAGCCAAGAAGAGAGATCTGCAGAGTGGATGATCAACATCAACAGCCTGAGGTATCAAGACATTTGTGCTGCCCATTACATTACAAACCACAGGAGAGGGACAATTCTCCAGCAGGATAGCGCTCCTTCTCATACTTCAGCCTCCAGATCAAAGCTCCTGAAAGCAAAGAAGGTCAGGGATTGGCCAGCCCAGTCACCAGATATGAACATTATTGAGCATGTCTGGGGTAAGATGAAGGAGGAGGCGTTGAAGATGAACACAAAGACTCTTGATGAGCTCTGGGATCCTGCTGAAGGCTTTCTTCTTCATTCCAGATGACTTTATTAATCAGTGATGTGAGTCATGTCAGAGATGTATGGATGCAGTCCTCCAAGCTCATGATGGAGTCAGACACAATATTCATTCTGTCTCCATTAAAAAATATGTTTGTAGAGCAACTCATGTTCTGTAGTGATTAATATTTTAATAAATTATAATAGGTAAAACTGTCTGAGAGATGAACGAAAGCAAGTGATGCATGAAATTTTGATTGAAAAAATCTTGAATGGTTATAAAAAACTGATACAAACAATACAATAAAACAATACAACGATAAAACAATACAAATTATTAGTTTAAATATCTTGAATGATATTAATGATGTGACATAGTTCCCGGAAACGTTCTACTTCTCTGATTATCCGTCTGACTTTACGGTCGATTTACTTTGATCGCCACCCAGTCATTTTCAAGAATATCACAAAGGCGAACGCATCAAGTATAAAAGCCTCGTCCGTTTCGCGAGGTGCGCGTGCAGTCAGCGGAGGTGCGTGATGCGGCGTCTGGATTAAAGTATAAATCTAGCTTTATAGTGTAGCTCAGTGCAAGAAGGAAGCTCATTTTGAGAAAACAGCCTAAAAAATAATGAACTGTAAGTGAAATCTACAAAATCTGAAATAATAAAGTGCTGCAAAAGTCTAAACAGAAGTGTATTTTGGATTTTTCTTTCTATTTTAAAAAAAAATACACTAAGAAAAGTACAAATAAATCTGCATGAAAAAAGTGTCTCGCCTTTATCTCCATGAGTGCTGGGTTTCTGGAAAGCAAAAGTAAAAAAACAGTGTGTGTGCAGTGTGTGTGTGTGTGTGTGTGCTGCTCACCATGCCAAAGAGGGGGAGAGGTTCACTTCCAAGAGCCAGGGTTTGAGGTTGGAATCAATGAGAACGTCGAAACCATACAGTTCTGCGAATTAACACACACACACACACACACACACACACACACACACACACACACAGTGAGAGGGGTGAATGGGAGGACACACACCACACAGAGCTAGCGCTACTGAAGGCCATCTGTGAAGGTAAATCAACACATTAAGAAAATACAAAAGGGCTTAAAAGTTTGGTGAAAGAAAACGCCGAGGTAAATTCGGTAAAAGATCATTCTGTTTGTTTATCTTTAATGATGCAAATCATGAACTGCACCTCAGAGCAGCAAATATTTGATGCTATAATTAATGATAAATATCAAATGCAGATGATAAACATCCTGCGTTCAGATGTCTGATGTTTGAACACAATCTAACATGAACTTAATACAGCTTGAAGGTGTCTGCTCAGCGCAGTTTTAAGCATACTTCATGAGTAACACTTGTTCTAAACCACAGTATAACTTGTTGCTAGCATGTTTATAATATGAACTAGCAAGTTTCTAGTATGAATTGTATGTTGTTATTATGTTTATTAGTCTGTTTGTAGCATAGATTAGTACATTTTTAGTATGGATTGGTATATTGTTATGATGCTTCTAGTATGGATTATAATTTAATTGGTACGGATGGGTATGTAGTATGGATTAGTGTATTAATATGGATCGATATGTCAGTTAGTATGTTTTTAGTATGGATTAGTATATTGTTAAGGATCGGTATGTCGCTGGTATGTTTTTAGTATGGATTAGTGTACTGTTGGTATGATTTGGTATGTCATTAGTATGTTTCTAATATGTTTCTAGTATGGATTAGTATATTGTTAGTATGGATTGCCATGTCTTAGTATGTTTCTAGTATAGATTAGTATATTGTTTGTATATCTTCGGATGTCTTTAGTATGTTTCTAGTATGGATTAGTAAATTGTTCATATAGCTTGGTATGTCTTAGTATGTTTCTAGTATAGATAAGTATACTGTTAGAATAGCTTGGTATGTATGTTAGTATGGATTGGTATGTCTCAGTATGTTTCTAGTATGGATTAGTACATTGTTAGTATGGATCCTAATTCTAATACACGAATTAGATTTGTGTATTTTTGAACCGTGTTTTTTATTTATGAATCGTGTTTTGAATTTATGAACTGGGTTTGTGTATTTTTAAATCGTGTTTTAAATTTACGGATTGAATTTGAGTATTTTTAAATCGTTTGAGTTTACGAATCAGATTTGTGCATTTTTTAATCGTGTTTCGAGTTTACGAATCAGATTTGTGCATTTTTGAATCGTGTTTCGAGTTTACGAATCAGATTTGTGTATTTTTGAATCGTGTTTTGAGTTTACGAATCAGATTTGTGTATTTTTGAATCGTGTTTCGAGTTTACGAATCAGATTTGTGCATTTTTGAATCGTGTTTCGAGTTTACGAATCAGATTTGTGTATTTTTGAATCGTGTTTTGAGTTTACGAATCAGATTTGTGTATTTTTGAATCGTGTTTTGAGGTTATGAATCGGATTTGTGTATTTTTGAATCGTGTTTTGAGGTTATGAATCAGATTTGTGTATTTTTGAATCGTGTTTTAAGGTTATGAATCAGATTTGTGTATTTTTGAATCATGTTTTGAGTTTACGAAATGGATTTGTGTATTAATGAATCACGTTTTGAGTTTACGAATTGGATTTGTGTATTAATGAATCACGTTCTGAATTTCCGAATAGAATTTATGAATTGTGTTCTGAATTTTCGAACAATGTACACTCTATGCAATAATATCAATAATAGAGTCCATCCAGCCCTAAAAGATTGTGCTTCCTATTACAGGAACAGCCTTATATTGGGAAAATATGTCAAATCTTACCTCGGTAAGCAGCTCTTTTAGTATTGGAACAGAGCCTACATGTGGCTGTAAAAGTTCTAGGCTATAAAGCAGGTCTTTATCAAAGAGAAGGGAGTTTCTGTGGCCATTCTGCATTTACCCAGCACCTTCAAACGCTGACACAAGAGAGAGAGTGTTTGAATGTTTTCATGCTCTAATGTAAACAGAGCTGCTTGAGAGAGCAGGAGGGCTATAGACTAGAAGCCTGTGTGTCTGTCTGTTGAACTTAGACTAAATTTCACTGCTTCAGAAGGAGCAAACCGACATTTCTAACTCGTCTTTTATGAACGGGCTTTGATGTTTACTTGTTGCCCCATATTCAGGCTTTCTGTACAAGTTGGGAGAGTACGCAAATGATCTAAGGTGATTACATTTCTATGTGTACCTGGGCTACCTCCGGATTACGCTAGTGAACTGGACTGTGTGTGGCCCTTGGCTACTTTGCCAACCTGTTAACACTAGTGAACTAGTTTTTATCTGAGCTACTGTGGCGACTGGCTTAACACTTTAACGTGTAGCTTTTTTAAACGTAGACAGCACAGCAGTTTTCTCGAACAGAGCTACAGATGACTACATCTTAGTTCAATCAGCTCTAAACACACTACACGAGCAGAACGACAGGGAAAGCAGCCCGTACTAATTACTCAAGATGTGCACCATTCTGGCTAGTGAACATGCACACAAACACAAACAGCACGCATTTACACTTCTCCAACAGCGAGCAGCCAGCAGCCCATGTGCAACGCATTTTCCCCCAATTAGGAGCAGACACCGGTCCTGCCCGCACCTCAGCCCTCACGCGCTTGTGGCTCTTTAATGTGTGCTGGGAGGGCCCATTAACATCACCACAAAATATTCACAGTGAGGAGAATAAATAAGCACCAACAAGGGAAGATCAAAGCCGAGCGTTATTACGAGCCGTCGGGCTCTGGAGCCGAGAAAACAAGCCCAAACCAAACTCACCGCAACAACAATAACAAGAGCGTAACGTATCATCTCACTGGGTGTCTCCTGCATCTGCTGTGTCACTCGGCATGGTTGCATCACTGCAGAAATGAATCCTATTCCTGTTGGCTTTGGGTGTCTTTTCCTAAACAATATAACAGAGGGTGGAGCGGGCGGCTCGCATGAACTCACTGATGAAATATCATCTGGTTCCTGAGCTCACGCTGTGTGTTACTAGCCATGGAAACAACAGGAGGCTTTTGCTGCATTTACATCTCAGCAGCCCAATGTTGCGATATTAAAGGATTAGTTTACTCAAACATATTAAAGAGATAGCTCAGGCCAAAAATAAAGACTCACAATAATTACTCACATTTTACATTTACATTTACATTTAGTCATTTAGCAGACGCTTTTATTCAAAGTGACTTACAAATAAGGACAAGGAAGCAACTTACACAACTATAAGAGCAACAATGAATAAGTGCTGTAGGCAAGTTTCAGGTCTGTAAAGTCTAAGAAGGAAAGTATTAGTACTTTTTTTTTGGGGGGGGGGGGGGGGGGGGTGTGGTACAGTTATTGTGATATCCAGAGAGGCAATTGCAGATTAGGAAGTGAAGTGGAATCTAAACAGTTGAGTTTTTAGTCGTTTCTTGAAAATAGCGAGCGACTCTGCCATTCTGATGCAGTTAGGGAGTTCATTCCACCAACTGGGCAGATTGAACGCGAGAGTTCGGGAAAGTGATTTCTTCCCTCTTTGGGATGGAACCACGAGGCGACGTTCATTCACAGAACGCAAGTTTCTGGATGGCACATACATCTGCAGAAGTGAGAGCAGATAAGAAGGAGCAAAGCCAGAAGTCGCTTTGTAGGCAAACATCAGAGCTTTGAATTTGATGCGAGCAGCAACTGGCAGCCAGTGCAAACGGATGAGCAGCGGAGTGACATGTGCTCTTTTAGGTTCATTAAAGACCACCTGCTGCGTTCTGGAGCAGCTGAAGAGGTTTGATAGAGTTAGCTGAAGCCCGGCTAGTAGAGAGTTGCAATAGTCCAGTCTGGAGAGAACAAGAGCTTGAACAAGGAGTTGAGCTGCATGTTCAGATAAGAAGGGCCGGATCTTTCTGATGTTATAGAGTGCGAATCTGCACGATCGAGCAGTTCTAGAAATGTGGTCAACCTTCACTTTTCACAACCCAGAGTTTCTTAGGCCCTGTTTACACTGTCAGGTCTTAATGCCCAATTCTGATTTGTTGCCTGTATCTGATTTAATCGTCATGTTTGGATCATTTCAATCCTTTAACTGTTTTCATCTGTAAATATATTTGTGTGTTGCTGTTCATCCTGTGTGTGTTCAGCAGTGTGTAAGCTTTTGGACCTGCATAGGCGCATAACTAACACACTCTGCTGGACTTTAGAGCAGCTTTCAGTTGGTCAATGATGCTGTTGATCTATTTCAGCTCCTCAAAATAGCAATGCTCCAATAATGCACCTTAACACACCTCCTTTATAGACCAGCACACCCATGAGTCCACAAAAAGACGCAATTGAATTTGCTTTTTAAACAACGTGGAGCAAAACGTGAAAATTACTGTTGTGCCGGCCTGAAAATAGCGACAAATCCCGCCCAGCACGTCTTGTACCTTATTGCGCTGGGTGTATGATAGAGCCTCTAATGTTTATTTTTGGATATCTTTAATTTTGGATATCTTAAGTTTTACCCCTTTTTCAAGATGTGTGAGGCGTACTCACACTATGCTATCTGAACCGTAACTAGGCCCATTTCCCAGATCGTTTGAGAAGTGTGAGTGCTCTGAATCGGGCTCAGGCACAGTTCACTTATCATGTCCCGGTTGGAAGAGGTGTGCCAGAGCGCGGTTCACTTGGGCTTTTGAGCGGTACGCTTGTAGGGTGAGTGTAAAGCGCGCCAGAGCCCAAAACTGAAGACGAGACGTGACTTTAAGGTACTGCTTTATATGGTTTTATTAATCATTCTTACTGTTAAATGAACACAAACTGCCGTATATTAAAGACGCAAACCCCTCACTGCATGACAGCTGCATCTTCAGAAAGCCTCCTAATTCCTGCAGCATGAGGGCTTTATGACTGTTTATGAGCGCCAAAATTGGCTGATCTATTCTGTGAAATATTTAACTGCATGTTACTGCATATCAAACGACTTAAACGACGAAATAACTGAAGAAATCTGCACA